CTGTGCTCTCTGTGTATATATATATATATATATATATATATATATATATATATATATATATATATATATATGATACCTGGTTTAAGTATGCATGGTAAAGTTCAAAAACATTTATTTTGCATAATTATTCTCAATTGTGATTTTCACTTAATTTTAATGACTGAGATTATTTTTATAATTAAAATTTGACATTAGGCATAATTGTAAGACAACTCATTTTCAAATTTAGACCAAATTCACTTGACCCATTTTTATTCTTTATCTGAAAATAATGCATACAACTTCATATTTAGCTCACATACTGTAAAGAATATCACACAGATATTAACTTGACGACAAAAAAACTGAGTCTTTCCACAGAGGATTATCCTTTTGGGTTTGGTCATGTGTCCAAACAGATCTCCTTCTTCCCCCGCCATCATTAGCCACATGATCCCAGGAAGACAGATGAAAATGTAAGGCTATATTTTGTTTTACCAAAATACAGCATTAAAACACAAACTAGACTTTAACCAGCCAGCAGTGCCTATAAAATTAGGAACAAAAGAAGCAGTTCCTATCAAGACCACTGCAATAGAACTCAGATCTCCTCGCTATGACCTTAACCCCTCTGAAGTGGACCGGAGCATCAGACAGGTGTACCCTCCTGTTTCTTCTTCTCACCCTGATTCCTGAAGTACTCATAATTGAGCAGGGCATCTCGTTTCAATGGGAGAGTGGGCTCTGGGACAGTGCTGGCATCCACACCCAGCTGCTTGGCTTGCTGGGCCAGGATCATCGCACGCAGGAGAGGCGGGTATCTCGCGTAACGCACAGGAGGCTCAGGGACAGGTTCACAGCGTTTGAAGACCTCTTCTTCATGTTTGGGCACCAGTCGCCAGTCATGGTACATCACCTTATCCACTTCACGCTCTCTAGCCTCCTCTTTACCTGAAACCCACATCCAAACAATGCGTCACAGTAAGGTTGCTGTATGTATTTGCTATATTTGTTTACCTTGTATAATTCTACTGAAAATATAAAATCTTGTCATTCATTCATTACTGTTCAAGATTTCAACTGTTCAAGTTTGTGGTCGGTAAATTTTTTGCTCATTTAAAAAGAAAAAAAAAAGGGGGGAAAAAAAAGTCTAATTCTTACCAAAGCTGCATTTATTTGATCAAGAATACATTAAAAACAGTAATATTGTGAAATATTATTACAATTTAAAATGATTGTTTACTGTAATTTAATACTGTGATGGCAAAGCTGAATTTTGAGCAGTCATTGCACCAGTCTTGCACCTTCAGAAATTATTCTAATATGTCCATTTGGTGCTCAAGAAACATTTGTGCTGCTTAATATTTTTGTAGAATCCGTGATAAAAAAGTTCAGGATTCTGTGGTGAATAAAAAGTTCAAAAGAATAACATTTATTTGAAATCAAACACTTTTATAACATTATAATAATCTTTGTCACTTTTTATCGATTCAATGCATTCTCGCTTAATTTAGTTTCCTTACAAAAAATCTATATATAGCAGTGCCACAACACCAAAATACTACATAGCTGGTGTAGAAGTGATACGGCAGAACAAAAGAGGAACGAGATTTTTTTAAGGAACTACCTTTTATTAAAAATAAGTGGCATTATTTATGTTTGTGGATTAGTTAGTTGTTCACAGAGAAGGTAGGCCTGGGCGATAAAATGGTATCGATATTTATCGGTGGTACACCTTCTTCGATAACGATAAAAAATGTTCGATATAGCGCACGATATAGGCACGTGCTCTGAGTGATGCAGAGAGCACACACAAACACGAGTGCTGTGACTGCCTGTGATGAGGAGATTGTGAATAAAGAATGAATAGTAGTCGAATTTAAAATAAACATTTGCATTTGAATGTTAGGTGTGCATCAGGGAGCGTCATCAGCGGCGCACGAGATGTGGTGATGATGATGTAAGTGACGTTGTTGCATTTGAATGTTTTGTCAGTCTAGCCCACGAGACGAGCCGCTGCTGCGTTATTCATTCAAAATATTAGAGAAATATAGAAGCTCAATGCGGCGAAGATCTTGATTAGGTTAAAACTAAGCCATTCACACAGATGCATATTCAGCGCATTTTTAGTCAGACAAATATGACTGCTGCACTCGCGTCTCACACAAGAGATGCATAGAAAGCCATGCAAAGTTAAAACAGTTTAAACTTTTAGAAAACGCATCGCAAATTTGTGGAGGTTTATTCCTTTTCACTGCGTCTCATATGTTTTTAAATGTGATCGTGTGATCGGCGCTTCGCTCTTTGGATTAAGCAATGCATAAATACATGATGCTGTTTTGTTCATAATCGTTTATGCAATTTATGAAATTATATTAGATTTTTATGAGTTAATTTAGATGTAATGCACGTTTTTTAATAGAGTTACTTCCTTGCGTTTTTTGCTCATTGCGCCCTCCTGTGACCTCGGGAGACAAGACAAAAGTTTCCTTAAGACCTATTTAATCTGGATATAAAACATTAGAAATGAGATATTGGTTTAATTTTTATTTTGTTTTTGATTATTAAAACAAAAATATTTGTTGTTTGTCTCAATAAATTGGGTTAATTTAAAAATACAGTGGTTAAATTAAAAAAAAAATTATTTTTGCTCTTTTGTTTTAAAAAAGGTTATAAAAATGTCAATAATTATCGATACCAAACGATATTAAATATTATATCATTGATAAAGTTTTTTAGCTATATCACCCAGCCCTAAGAGAAGGTTTGTTTTTTTTTACCTTTAAATGTTAGAACGCCCCATGCTTTCCCATGATCCATGTTCTAAAGAAGAAAACATCAGTGTTTGAGTTTTTGATTATTAAAACAAAAATATTTGTTGTTTGTCTCAATAAATTGGGTTAATTTAAAAATACAGTGGTTAAATTTAAAAAAAAAATTTTTTTACCTTTAAATGTTAGAACGCCCCATGCTTTCCCATGATCCATGTTCTAAAGAAGAAAACATCAGTGTTTGAATTCACGCACACACTCAAACATAATCATTTGCACAATTATTTATGTTGTTGCATGGGTTAAAATAATCACAGCTAGACTGACAATGCAGAAGACAAAAACCACACAAATACAGGCAGAACATACCTCTGCTGTATAATCCACCTTGACTTTTGTTATTTTCCAGTAGCATGGCTCTGTATGCTCGTCCAGCCATGACTTGCGTGTAAAGAGTCGACCCACACCAAACATGCGCATGCCAGCCAGTAACAAAAAGAGGCGTGTTTCTTGCCGCACATCTTTCCAAGCCAACACTGGCAGCTTTTTGCCAGTGAAGGGTCGTGTCATGGTGTCGTAGTCCAGCGCATAGCGCTGAGAGTCCTGGGGTCGATTCTTCAGCTCCCGGTAGGCCCTGATCTTCCGTGCCATCTCGGCTATAAGCCTCAGACGCTTTTTCTTTACCATGCTGCCTGGATGACCGATAAAAAAATATAGCAAAATATGGACATAAATATAACAAAACATCAGGTTTCACCAAAAAATGTCCCGTCATCATACACTCACCTTACAAACCTTGTAAACAGTTAAAAATAGTCAATGAGCTTTTTTTTTTTTTTTTTTTTTTTACATACTGTTGGAAGTCAATGGCTACCAGCAACTGTTTAAGTACCCACATTCTGCAAAATATCTTCTTTTGTGACGAAAGACGCAGTAAACTCATACAGGTTTGGAAAACTTGAGGGTGAGCAAGTTTATAATTTTCAGTTTTGGGTCAACTATCAAAAACATTATGAAATTCATAGAATGTTTTCAGTTCAAATTTTCACTCAGATTGTTATGCTGATGATATTACAATTTGAAATAAAATAAAATAAAAAAAATGTAAAAATGCAAATACAAAATAAAAGCATTATTACTTGACTTTAGGATTACACTGCGTATAAAGGCCTGGGAACTCACACAGAATTATAATAAACTGGAAAAAAAGAGTCTTAAATGGTTGCTAAGTCTAGATCTTCCGTGCCATCTCGGCTATAAGCCTCAGACGCTTTTTCTTTACCATGCTGCCTGGATGACCGATAAAAAAATATAGCAAAATATGGACATAAATATAACAAAACATCAGGTTTCACCAAAAAATGTCCCGTCATCATACACTCACCTTACAAACCTTGTAAACAGTTAACGGCAGTCAATGAGCTTTTTTTTTTTTTTTTTTACATACTGTTGGAAGTCAATGGCTACCAGCAACTGTTTAAGTACCCACATTCTGCAAAATATCTTCTTTTGTGACGAAAGACGCAGTAAACTCATACAGGTTTGGAAAACTTGAGGGTGAGCAAGTTTACAATTTTCAGATTTGGGTCAACTATCAAAAACATTATGAAATTCATAGAATGTTTTCAGTTCAAATTTTCACTCAGATTGTTATGCTGATGATAATACAATTTGAAAAAAAAAAAAAAAAAAAAAAAAAAAAAAAAAAAAAAAAAAAATGTAAAAATGCAAATACAAAATAAAAGCATTATTACTTGACTTTAGGATTACACTGCATATAAAGGCCTGGGAACTCACACAGAATTATAATAAACTGGAAAAAAGAGTCTTAAATGGTTGCTAAGTCTATTGTTATATAGAAATACGATATTATATTAAGTATTATATGAAAAACACGATTAAAAGCACGATACACTGCTACATGGACATGTATGTATTTTGCACAAAAACACTTGAAGACCTCAAATCTCACCTGAATTTGAATGACTTTCAAATGATCAGTAATTATAAGTCTACTTTCAAATTAACACATTACGACATGGGTTTTCAAGTCATATTTAAAAGGAAACTCAAGATCATATCAAATCAGTATGATCCAGGTTATATAAAGACCATAGACTGTAAAAAAGACATGCGATTGACAGCTATAGCGGACTTCATTGATCTAATGCGTAAAACACACGCAGCGTTATATGCATATCTTGCCAATATTTTGGACGTATGCTAACATAAACGTAAATATATCTCATAGAGACATCTGACCAGTCACTACATTTAACGGAGCAACTAAACAATCAGCTGCAGTCTTGCGCACACATGCTCCACGTGTTACAGCAGTTGAATCATAGGATATGAGATATTATACACATGGACACAAACTACTTCAGCCAAAGTCGGCAGAGGAATAGCAAATGAAATAAATAAAAATAAGCGTGCATTTCACACCATTTTTCTGTCAATGACAGTCATCTCACCTGTCTGTTTGACTTGACCTCCACAAATGCGTCACGCGCCTTCCGCTGTTCCTCAGTGAAACAGGTCCGCGTGCGTTTTCCGGTTCCGCTAAGCCTCACAACTTGCTTTGAAGGAGCATCCCAGACGTCTTCCACTTGATTATTAAACCGTCCAGCTACAAACTTCATTACGCAACAATCTGCCAGTAGTCTGCACAAAATGCAGAAATTGATCATCCAAAAGATGTTATGTGATGATAACTTTTGTGTATTAAGAGCAACTATATGATTGATTTTTGGAAACCTTTATTAAGATCTCAAGAAGAACAACAGTCAAAAACATATTCAGCCCCTTTTTTAATGCATATATAATTTTCCTTGACTCATATAAAAGGCCATGCTTAATGTACGGCGTAGCAGCGAAAGAAGGAAGAGAGAAGACAGAGAATGAGAGAGTGAGCTCTCGCTCGCGCTTATGACATACAACACGCGTAGAACACAGCATAGGGACCTGTATATATTTCTACATACATACAATAAGCGCAAAAAGTGCTTTATGGGTAACAAAAACATGACTTGCTTTTTTTTAAAACAATTAATTACAAAATCTTTCATATAAACCCCATATGAATTCAATATGAACCTCACGTAGAGATGTTGCAGATTAAACATGAAGCAACCTCTACTTCGCTTAGCATCAGTCAGTTCGACAATTGCATTAAGGTATTTCCAGGGAAATACAGCTCAGATACACATAAACACACTGAGTAATAACTAGGGCCCAAAGTAATTCCTAGAGAGAAGAAGTGTCAAAATACACAGGCATTTTCCTCACCATTTCAACATAATGGTATTTAAAACACATTTATGCAGATGATTTTCATCATGACTTCACTGTTGTGTTGGCAAGTCCAAGTTGTTTGATAAAATAAGAATAGAGTAAAAACATACGATTGTTCAAACATAAAGAGAGAAGTGCTGAGATGTCTGAGTGGCCTGTAATGGAGAGACATGAATATGCATTACTTCAGAGGAGATCACGTAACTTTTTCTGCCCCCAAGTGAAGGCAGTAATGGAGAAATTCACAGTTCACTCAAGGTGTATCGTTTGGGTTTATTGTGTGAATGCAAACAGTGTGTGTGTTTGTCTGCGCTTCAGATGGTGGCATGTTATTGTTCCTCACATCAGAACAGGTTCATGAGGTTCACATCTTGCTTTTGTCTGAAGAGCTGGTCTTCATTCCACTGGGAGTTCACGACATCATAAAAACTGACTACGAATACTGTAATATATATCCAAATGTCACCTGATGGAGCAAACTACCTTTAGAGCCTTGAAAGATGAAAATTTACCAGCGATGCAACTAGTAAAACAGGCTTCACTGACCTTGACGTTAATCAGCCAGCCCTGTTATCCACCGCTGTGATTAACAGCACACGCCCAGTGTTTATATAATGTTGGTTCTTTTTTTTATTTGTGGAGACATTTTCTGATGTGTGCATAATGATGCATAATTGATGTGCACACGCAGCCTCAGGTCCAGCGGCAACGTTTCCGCTGGCAGGCCTCGGGGTCTGAGGAGCAGCCCTCAGAGTCACTGCCCGAGGAGGGTCCTGGCGGGGTGTGTGTGTTCGAGTGCGTGTGCGTATGATCCAGGCTTAGCACCCATCCCAGCTTGGAGTGAAGAAGGTGTCTGAGGCCGGGCGGCAGGGGCAGGACTCGGAGCACATCGACTCCAGACGGGAGCAGCTTGCGGAGTCGTGAGCAACACAGGTACTGTAGAGAGGTGGGCGCGGAGACCGAGCGAATTACCTTCATGCTGCTTTTAGCCGCGGTGGAACACGCCATCGGAAAAACACGCTTATTCTTCATCTCTGTAGCTGCGACACCTGCCACACACACAACAGACAGGTTAAATTAGGGCTGCACGATTATGACAAAAAACATAATTGTCGATTATTCCCTTGAAATTGTAATTGCGATTATTAATTACGATTATCACAATTTACATTGAATGATGTTTATGCCATTGTCTGATGCAACTGCATGCCGTATTTTTATATGAAAATAAACAAGCTGAAAACACTCTAAATGAAAAACTTTTAGTGCTTTTCTATAGTAGCCTCAAATGTCAACTATACATCGGATTGGTTTCTTCTTTAAATTATAAAAAAGTAAAAATATGAATGGTATTATGTTATACTAAAATTAAAATAATGGGAAAAACCCTTAAGATAACATGTAGAAAGAAAGAAAAAACGCATCTTAAGCGTGCAGAATAACATAAGTGGACTTTGAACGATTACGTAATTGAGGCATCCATAACTGTAATCGCGATTAGAAATTCAAATAATTGTATTTATTTGTGATAACTGTGATAAACCTGCTCTCCAGCAGTGTGATTGTTCTTTAGTGTCTGTTCTCTAAAAACTAGGAATGCGCACTTGCAGATTTTCACACAGCACTAGTCGGTGGGTTGTTTGAACAACTACTAGTTATAGCCTTGTATAATCATGTTCACCAGGCATGGATAGGACGTCTCTTATGGATATAGGGGCACGAAGCACAACCTAACTAGGTAACAAGGTAACCGACAAATATCAAAATAGATAAGTGAAGTAACTGTAAACTTGTGTGATAATTCATAGTTGTTGCAAAAAAATATATTTTATGCACGTTAACAGAAATATTGCTTATAGCAAGCAATTGGATTTGTTCTCCAAAAAGAATTGTCTGGAAATTTATTGTTGAATTTTTACAAAAAAAAAAAAGTTTTATCAATTTTCTGCAGTGAATTTACAAAACGTAACAAAATATGGCACTTTTTTTGTGATGGCTGTGGCAGAGGAGTTTTAAAGGCAGTGACTTTCCAATAATGACAGTATGATTTTGAGATCCATCTTTTCACACTGAGGACAACTGAGGGACTCATATGCAACTATTACAGAAGGTTCAAACGCTCGTTGATGCTCCAGACGGAACAATTATTATTAAGAGGCAGGGAGTGAAAACTTTTTGAATTTGAAGATCAAGGTAAACTGTACTTCATTTGACTTCTGGGAAACATGTAAGTATCTTCTGCAGCTTCTGAAGGGCAGTACTAAATTAAAAAATATGATATTTAGGTAAAATAAGAAAAAAAAGTAAGAATTATTTTGTTCAAATAATTAACATTTTGCAGATTCTGCAAGGTGTATGTAAACTTTTGACTTTGACTTCAACTGTTTATACACACACACACACACAATAATAAGAAAAATAATATAAAACGGTCTCTTACTGTCAATTATTAAATTGTAATACATGTCAAAAACATGTTTGTCTGGTTACTCTGACATTTTTTGCTGACAAAAATCTCAAAAACATTCTTTTTACAAGAACATAACTGTTCATGTTATCTTTCAATTCCTAGAGAGAAACTGACACTTAAAAATGTGTATTATATTTAAAAAAACAACAAAGATAAGATTGCAGCTGAAAGGAGTTTGTCATCTTACCGATGCACTTGCGGTTTTTGTAGAAGGTGAGGGTGCCGTGCCAAGTGTCCAAGTGAACACCAATAATGGAACCCTGTCCGAAACGTGATGAAAAGCTTACTTTATCACCGTTATGATGTAACAGACCTGAGAAAAACACAAACACACATTACATGAAAAACAATTCCTTCCACACCATGCGTTCATGTAAAGTATAGCGGTTTGTGAACACAAGTATGTGTTTGCGAACCGAACCCGTTTTACCTGTATATGACAGACCCCAGCTGTCTTCATCTTTACCCAGCAGGCTGCAGAATGTGTGTCTATATTTGTCCAGACTCACATCTGATGAGCCAATACCAACCATCTACATAAACACACACGGAGAATTCAACCGTTTAAGTTTAAACATCCCCACAGTCTTCAAATCCTTCTAATATGCTGATTTGGTGCTTAAGAAACATTTCTTATTATCAATGTTGAAAACAGTTCAGTGCTGCTTTTGAACTGCTGTGTACATTTGACAAGAAGCATGCAAAACTACTCATTGCAATGTGGCTCACATCTTGGAAAACTCAACTGATTCAGCAACTCTCATCCCCTATTAGCTGTATGCTGACAGTTATGCTTCAGTCTGCTGAATCAGCTACGCTGCTAAATTTTCTTTTAATATCAGCCCGTTTTATACAAAACGCCCTAAATAAGCAAACTGCCCCCTATTCACAAAAACCATACTGAATATCACTACCATACTAAACATGCATAAAGACACACATCTGCACTTTTGTTTCTCACCATGTCTGTGCCGTAGACTGGAGAAGTCATTTTAATCTCCCAGAAGTGCTGTCCCTCTGAGAGTTCTTTGGAGCCGCGAATGGCTGCCGTTCCACAGCTATACTCCGAGTGGAAGCTCACTTTCCTGTTCTCACAGCTCAGCAGTGTAGCAGACGACTGGCTGCCCTCATCCCACACCCAGTCAAAATCTGACAAACAATAAGAGAACAAGTTTAAGCATGAGCAAGGTAAACCTAATGTATCAATGTTGCATGTGTCACCACCTTGGTCATCTTCTCCGCAGTGGCAGTGTGTGTAACCCCGGAGCCGTGGGTTACAGCTGAGCTCCATCTGTGAATCACAGCTGCAGTATGACTCTCCCGTTACAGGCACCGCGCTCGGAACTGCCGGAACAATGGCTGGATACTCGGCTTCAGAATCAGAGTCACTGTACTGCAAGACACATGCGTGCAAATTCAGATCTGACATAGCTTAGGTCCTTTTGGTCAGTCATTTATGCTTTTTTGAACGTAAATGACTCCTGTGATGTTCGGCACTTCAGACAAAAGGCCTTTTCAAGCTAAAAAATTAAAGGGATAGTTCAACTAAAATGTAGATAAATTTGTTTCTTTTTCCAAACAGATTTGGAGAAATTTAGCATTACATTACTTGCTCACCACTTAATGCTCTGCAATGAATCAGAATGAGAGTCCAAACAGCTGATAAAAACTATAAACTATAAACTGTTGCTTCTGGCTAAAATATGAGTCCTCTATCCATAATATTGCTTTCTCCAGTTAAAAAGCCATCTTACCTGAATCTGTAAAGAAATATGCACAGATCAAGCACCGTTTACAAGAGAAAACAGTCCAGAACAGTTCTAAACAAATATGTCAGTGGACTTTGATGTGAGAGGACAACAGGGGATGGAGGAAGCGTTAAAAATCCTTAATAACTCCTATAAACATGCAGCTTTTCACTTCACAAGACATTGCATTACATTACTTGCTCACCACTTAATGCTCTGCAATGAATCAGAATGAGAGTCCAAACAGCTGATAAAAACTATAAACTATAAACTGTTGCTTCTGGCTAAAATATGAGTCCTCTATCCATAATATTGCTTTCTCCAGTTAAAAAGCCATCTTACCTGAATCTGTAAAGAAATATGCACAGATCAAGCACCGTTTACAAGAGAAAACAGTCCAGAACAATTCTAAACAAATATGTCAGTGGACTTTGATGTGAGAGGACAACAGGGGATGGAGGAAGCGTTAAAAAATCCTTAATAACTCCTATAAACATGCAGCTTTTCACTTCACAAGACATTAACTGATAGACTGGAGTGTTGTGGATTATTGTGATGTTTTTATCAGCTGTTTGGACTCTCATTCTGACGGCACCCATTCACTGTAGAGGATCCATTGTTGAGCAAGTGCTGCAAAGCTAAGTTTCTCCAAATCTGTTCTGATGAAGAAACAAACTCATCCACATCTTGGATGGCTGAAGGGTGAGTAAATTTTCTGAAAATCTTCAAATTTGGGTGAATTATTCCTTTGATTGCTGCCACATCTACAGGCCTTTCCACATCATCCACACCCACCTGCTGGCGATCATAACCCCACTCGTCATTCTCGGAGGCAAGTACCAGCGCTCTTGCATCTGCATCCCGTCGGATCCCACTCCATACGTACCTCCACGCCCTGCTGTTTCTGCTCCGCCTCGACATGCCAACCAGGAGCCTCCGCACCTGTCAATCATAGAAAGAACAGCTGCACACAGAAACACACAGCAAACACACTGTCAAATCAAATTCATTTGAACAGCGTTTTCACAATACACAATATTTCATATTTGCTTTACAGAAATATGACAGACCTACGACATATGTAACCCTGGAGCACAAAACCATTCATAAGTAGCACGGGTATATTTGTAGCAATAGTCAAAAAATTTTTGTATGGGTCAAAATGATCGATTTTTCTTTTCTGCCAAAAATCATTAGGATATTAAGTAAAGGTCATGTTCCTTTTCAATTTCCTACAGTAAATAAATAAAACTTAATTTTTGATTAGTAATATGCATTGCTAAGAACCTCATTTGGACAACTCTAAAGGCGATTTTCTCAACATTTTGATTGTTTTGCACCCTCATATTCCAGTTTTTCTAATAGTTGTATCTCAGCCAAATATTGTCCTATCATAACAAACCATACATCAATGCAAAGCTTATTTATGATGATGTATAAATCTCAATAATAAACAAAAAGACCCTTATGACTGCTTTTGTGGTCCAGGGTCACAAATGACAACTGTTACTTCAGAGATCTTCCAGTAATCACCATAAAAAGTACATGTGTATTATAAACATAGTCGTGTACCAAAATATTAGTTTGTCAGTAGCCATAAACTTCCCTACCACATGTGTTCCTCATTATATCTTGAAATAATTCAAAAAGTGCCAAACGGATTGTTTTACGCGCGTTTTATTGTAATCCCGTTGAGCGTGAGGTGCGCTCGTGAAGCTAAACTTCCACTGTAGTGTATTTAGCGCGCGAGATGTAAACACTAGCTGGCAACACGCTCAGTTTAATTTCCAGTGATAAATGCATTGAGTCATTTCATTACGCATAGGCAGTCATTTGAGAGCTAGCTGACATGTCGGTATACTGTAGCTCCTAAAGATAGATTCCGTGAAATACATAACATGTTCTCTCTGCTAGGCCTCACAGAAGATGGTCAGCGAGAGCCAGGCACCTTGCAAGACTGTAGAGATGAAGGCTAATTCGCTTACAGAAGAGCAGATCGCCTGCAGTCATGCTAATACTATCGAATACTATTTGGATTTCAATATTATCCCAGCCCATATGATAATAACTGTAAAACAGTGCAACAGGCTTCGTTGTGTATACATGATCTTGGCGCTAACGGAGGCTCGCGGACTTAGCAGGCGCTACATCCTGCCTGCTGCATTCACTCGGATAAGCACAAACAAACCTACCTGTCTTTCAGGGGCACCACTGCGATCACTGGAGTCTCGTATACCTGAAGCTTTTAGTATGACACTGTAATGTATGTATCTGTAAAAGCAATCGGATTCTGTCCACCAGCTAACTGTCACACTTTCCTGTGACCTACTTTCACGACAGACGTAAACAATGCATTAACAAGCCCCGCCTCCTCGGTTCAAACGCCATTGGTCAAAGATTCCAAGTAGGCGGGGTTTATTTTCTAGCTTGCGTTACTACAGGTCTAAACAGCTGTCACTTAAATGTCAAACTCGTCCCAAGACTGAAGACTAAACCCCTTTTCTGACTTTCACGCTTCCCCATGCAGGCAAGTGTAGCGACAGTACATCGAGGCAGATGTTAAACTGTCATTATTAATGAACTAGATTACTTTTGGGCTGTTTCAGTAAGACAGACAGCTCTTTGCTGTGTTCTTCAATCGAACAGTTTAACAGACTATTTAAGAATATTCTGCTACATGTTTTAGAACAATCTGTTATCTACTGTTTCAACTTTGCTCATACCTACAAAAGTTAGATTTTGATCATAACATCTTGATTTAAGGTCGGTGTTTTGTTTACGGAATACATAGGCCTATGTGTCATGCCTGTTAGGATTTTGCTTCAATTCAAAACGATTAATAATAATAATAATAATAATAATAGTTTTTGTTGTTGCTGTTTTGTTTTATAAAAAATGAAACCTATTTTAGGACAATTAAGCTTCTAGACTTTTCTGGTTATATTATTTCTGTATAACATAATTTTCTAAAAGGAAAGCACATTTTAATTACTGTAATGAAAAAAAAACACGATTTATGTCTGCTTAAAGAAAACAAATTATGGACATTATATAAAATAAATTATGTAAAAAATCTAAAGTAAAAATTCCAGGCCCATTATGAAACTTTTTTGTGCATAATTGTCATAGAAATAATGTCACTGTGCAAAAAAAAAAAAAGATTACAGATGATATTTTTAAGCTAAATATAATTCTCTTTGTGACATTCACTCATAATCACAGTAGGCTAATACATGTTGCTGTTATAATCAAATTCAGAAATCTTCATTTGTACAAAGAATTAGACAAATTGTCTATTCTATTGCTGATGTGATATAATAAACTGACTGTAATTTAGCTAGCACAGTCACTTTGTATTACAATTACACCGTTTCTGGTAGCGATGCTCATGCAGTAAGAGGTCTGTGAAATGAAGGAGTGCTGCTCTATAGCGCCCCCTTCCCCCTGTGGTGGCGTGACTGCAGCAACCCGGAGCGCAATGAAGTTTGGTTGAGGCTGCAATACGGTGATTCAGACAACCAGATGGTAACCTGTGGATTAATCCCTCATGTTGCAGTCTACTCGACTCTCTGTGGCGTGAGAGCATCTTGATTATTAAATGTATGGTTGCAGTTTCTGAATATATTTTAGTGAGACACTCCTCAGATACCATTTGTTCATGTTCACCAGTGATAGATGAATTTGCATACTTGGAAATCATAATAGGCTAATTTATGCGCCTTAAATTGAAGGACATAATATGTTACAGTCCAAGAATTGGCTTGCACTTTGAACATCTGCAGTATATTTCCATTATCCCATCACGTGTGTGTTTGAATAAAAAGGAAACTGAAATTAGGTTGAGGAAGTTTTATTCGGAAACTGGACAAGCTGGCTGGTGTTCACCCATGAATGGAACCAGAAACAGTATCAACTACAGGTACAACGCTACACGTCTGAAGAATGTCATGTTAAGAGTTAAAGCACACGCTCGCTCACAGGCACACGTGTGCATCCATTCATTTCACACACAATTAGTAAACTTGCACATCAATACCTTGATTAAGACAACGGTCTCAATGGTAATCAATGATTACATACCCAAAGAAACTCCACAAATTTCCCACTGTGCAATTCACCTACCTATACAGACTTATATGTATATATATTTATCATATTACACACACACACACACACACACACTCATGTATTTAGATAAACATTATTTCAATAAAGACTTTTATCCATTTAACTGTTTAATGAACATCTCAATCTTCATAAATAATCAGCAAGAACAGAAAAAAAACAGTTTCAATTCGAATGGTCCCAAAAGGGAGAAAACTAAACGACGGCTGATTTGTTCTTCAAATGAGAATAAAATTAAGACAAAATAAAAGGAGGATGACAAACAAGTGTAGCATAGGAGAAAGAGAGCATCTATTTAAACACACACACAGGACGAGAGCAATAGCTACACAGCGCATTTACAGGGGGACGCACATCAGGCTACTATACACAGAGAGGAAGTTCAATCATACATTCACTTGCAAACAGCACACTCACGATACATGCATGCACGCAAAAATTCCTCTCTCATCATTTCGGGTGGTGAAGTTACTCAATGTGTATCATTTGGAGGATGTTTGTGTGTGTGTGTGTGTGTGGTTGATGGTTGTTCATGTGTAAGAGATGATAAGAGTGATTAACCCTTGGTGGACAGGATAAGAGCGACAATTAGCCCGTAGAGCCCCAGAACCTCAGCGAAAATTAGGATAAGGATCATCCCCACGAACAGGCGAGGCTGCTGGGCTGTGCCCCTCACTCCTGCATCTCCCACGATACCAATGGCGAAGCCAGCTGCGAGACCACTCAGACCCACGCTCAGCCCGGCACCCAGGTGCAAGAAACTCCTAAACACAGAACATGCATAGCATTACATCTTTGTTGTAACAACATTTGTTACATTATGACGACAATATAATAGACAACAACTGAGGTCAATTTAAATAATAATTACATAAAGTAATATTAGTAACAACAATAATTTACAAAAAGAACAATACCGTTAAACCGCCATGTATAGATACAGTAACAGTCTTTATATATTCTCATATAAAGTTGTATGTATGCATATATATGTTATAAAAAAAAGATCTATCTATCTATATACAAAAATTGGATTTTGTAATTATAGCAAAGAGTACGTAATAATAAATACCCTATAATAATACCCAATTTATACAGATAAAGTAAAAAGTCTCTTTAATTGTTTATATACTCTTACTATCTATGGATTTTAATATAGTGTTAAATCGTTTTTGTAAAAATATATTTTGCATTATGAATGTTGACCTCGTGTCGTTCCAAACCTGTAAGACCTTCGTTCATCTTCAGAACACAATTTAAGATATTTTTGATGAAATCTAAGAGCTCTCTGACCCTCCCATAGACAGCAAGGTAACTACCACGTTCAAGGTCCAGAAAAGTACCAAGATGATCGACAAAGTAGTCCGTGTGACATCAGTGGTTCAACTGTAAAGTTACAAAGCTACGAGAATACTTTTTTGCGCAAAGAAAACAAAAATAAAGACTTTATTCCACATTTTCGTCTCTGGGTCAGCGCCGCCACACACTTGCGTCATGATACTGTCGTGAACGCACGTCCACAAATGACGCAGTAGTGGTAGTTACCTTGCTGTCTATGGGAGGGTCAGAGAGCCCTCAGATTTCATCAAAAATATCTTAAATTGTGTTCCGAAGATGAACGAAGGTCTTACGGGTTTGGAACAACACGAGGGTGAGTAATTAATGACAGAATTTTCATTTTTGGGTGAACACTTCTTAACCAAATAAAAAATAAATAAATAAAACCCTTTCACCTCCATGTACAGATACAGTAAGAGCCTCTTTGGTTGTTTATATACTCTCACTACCTATAAACTCTAATATAGTGTTATATCTAGATTAGTCATATCATATCAAACAGATATTATAGTCAGCTATTTAAATAACATTTCTCAGCCACCAATAAAATGTGTGCTATTTTTTTTCTCTGTTTATGAGGAAGCTGGGAGTGACTTGCAGGAAAATCCTAAGCAGACAAGACACAAGCAAAGAGCATGACTCACTTGTAGAGCGTGATTCCGGGAGCCATGTTGTTGGCAATAAGTACAGCCACCACCAGGCCATAGATGGCAATGATACCCGCCATGACCACGGGAATGATGGACTTCATGATCAGCTCCGGTCGCATCACTGACATGGCAGCAATGCCTGTGCCACTCTTGGCTGTCCCATATGCAGCACCCAATGCTAAAAAGAAAGGAAATGGCAATTAACATGTGCAAAGAGAGCGAGAACGAGCACTTACAATGGGTTAAAGTTTAATGAATACAGGACAAGGCACATGTTGTAGGTTTAAACTAATACCCAACTAAAGAACCCCATTCTAACACATGTCTTATAAACCAACCCCCCAAATACAAACCAGCAGTTCCAGGAATACTTAGTAACCTTTTTAAGGTGAGACACAAGAGACAAAACCATAATTTCGAGATTTTGCTTCCATATCTTGTTTTCTTTCAGACTAGTGGAAAGAAAACATCCAAAAGACACATGCAAGTTATTTTATTTTATTACACTTTATCATCTTTAAATTTCAAAATGTTTAAATTTTCTCCTGCACTGAGCCAGAAATCTCCACTTCAGTAGCACTTACATACACCAACATTTAGTTTTCTTCCTATCTATATTTTTTAACGGTTTTTATAGAGGGTTGTGTTTATTAGGGCTGGGTAAAAAAAAATAGATATCTCGATATTAATCGATTCTCATTTTTACAGAACGATATCGATTCTTAAATACCAAGAATCGATTAGTCTCGCCTGTTTTCAGTTAATGGACAGAACATTTAAGGGTGCTTCCCATCCAATAAATCGCAATAAGCATTGTGCTTTGGTACTTTTAATATGAAAAAGTCTCAGATTTCAAATTCTGTCCATTGTATTGCAGTATTCAAACAATAAATGCCGTTTTGGCGCTGTTTAATGTGGAGTGACAGATCGCTGTAGTGCCTCAGTTCAACTGACGCAGCAGCGCAAAGCGCACATGAACTAATCATCTCGTCCACATTAATACCAGTTTCAGCACAAAATAAACATGACTAAGCATTCGAAGGTACGTTAAAAGAAATAGTACAACTTTACAATCCGTATCCTGTCTCATGTAATCGCTCAATCAGTGTTTCAGCCGCGCAAAGACGTCAATATAACATCTTGTATTCGTGACCATAAACTCATTAGTCAGATAGAAAAATAAACTGTAGAGGGCCGTTTAGCTAAATATATGCACCATATAACATATTCATTATAAATTTTACTGTTCTTCAATGTTTAATTTATGTTTGAATAAATCCATCAAGTTTTTATGACAGCCACCATTATGTTTATATTAAAAAACTGAAGTAGAAATATTATTATGTAATTGTAACTATTATTTTAAAAACGGTCCCTTTAATTAGATAATAAATACAACATTTCAGAAAACTTAAATTACGGATAATAATGACTTATACGGTCTTTTACGTGTTGCATCGCGCCGCATAAACATAAAACCTTGTCTGCATTTGTGATCAGAGAAATTACAAACAACAAGCCCTACTCTACACTGCCCAAAAAACTCGCGTTTGAATCATCAGTGGCAAATCCTTTAAATGAAAACGTACTTACAGTCTGTGAGTCAGAACAGTCAGCATTATTGTCTACTCTCGCAGGATCAGGAAAAGTCCTCCATAAAATGTGTTGCACACATCTGGATATTTGGGTTAAACTGTTCTGGAACAGTGTTGTAAATACAACTTAACCACAGATTTGTAGTCGTGTCCTCTTTTGGAAGACCAAACAAAGTAGTTTCGCTTTCACAACGAAACACACAGCTCTTCACGACATGGCGGCAGCGGCAACAATACTACAGTGAGAA